GTGTGTGTGTGCGCGTGCGTGCGTGTGTGTGCGTGTGTGCGTGCGTGCGTGTGTGTGTGTGTGCGTGCGTGTGCGTGTGTGTGTGTGTGAATTCCATGGCTATGTGTTGGTGGCCAGAGCTGGAATAGGAGAGCTAGGGAGTTGTGTTCTTCAGTTCTGCTCATGCTCAGGAAACCCATTCTGTGTGTGTGTGTGTGTGTGTGTGTGTGTGTGTGTGTGTGTGCATGTGTGTATGCACGTGCACACACGCTCCCATGTAGATCTGTCTGTATGCTGGTACTAGGGTTTGAACTCAGGGCCTTGTTCTCATTTGGCTTTTGTGCTTGAGGCTGGCACGCTATTATCAAGTTACACATCTACTTCCAGCTTTTTGGTGATAAATTGGAGATAAGACTCTGATAGACCTTCCTGCCCAGGCTGGCTTTGAACTTCAGTCTCAGATCTCAGCCCCCTGAGCAGCTAGGATTACACCATCAGTGTCTAGCCAGGAGACCAGTTATGTTATCTTTTTTTCCCCTAGTTTTGTTTTTTGTTTGTTTGTTTTTGTGCAGTTCTGGGGCTTGAACTAGGCACCTGCTCACTGCCTTTGAGCTTTTTTTGCTCAAGGCTAACACTGTACCACTTGAGCCACAGCTTCACTTCTGACTTTTGGGTGATTAATTGGAGATAAGAGTCTCTCGGACTTTCCCAGCAGGGCTGGCTTTGAACCTGGATCCTTAGATCTCAGCCTCCTGAGTATCAAGGATTACAGGAGTGAGACTGGCCCCAGCATTTTTTTTTTTTGGTGCCTGTCCTGGGGCTTGGATGCAGAGCCTGGTGCTGTCCCTGAGCTTTTTTTTTTCCTCACTGGCTAGTGCTCTACCACTTGAGCCACACCGTCACTTTGGGCTTTTTGTGATGGTCAATTGGAGATAAGAGTCTCATGGACTTTCCTGCCTGAGCTGACTTCAAACCATGAGCCTCAGATCTCAGCCTCCTGAGTAGTAAACCACTTGCATTCAACTCACAGCAACCTTTTTATAAATATTCCTAGAAGGTTTCTGTCTCTCTCAGTCCAGATGCCTCGTATGATCACTGAGTTCTTACGCCGAACAGCCAAGTGGCGGGTCAGACAGTAGGGAGCTGTCAGGGACCTCGAAATGGTGGAGCACAGCAGTTTAGTCTCAGCCAAGACACATCCAGAGCAGTGGTTCCAGTTGTCCAGAAGGTGGCAGCCTTGGGCAAACAATGCCACAGCACACGGCTCTCTGCTTGGCACTCCTTCCAGGTCAGCGTCTTGTGAGGGGATTCAGTGGGGGAAGGGATTGCAGGGCTTTGGCACAATGCCTGATTCCTCTCCATGAATGGCCCTAAGGCCTCCAGCTTGCCACCCTGTTCTACTTACTATTCAGTGTGCTAGGGAAATGCATTTTACAGATGGGGACTCTGATGCTTTAGAGAAATGGAAATCCACTAGGTCCTTGCACTAGCAAGGGGTTCCCAGAACGGGGCTGGGTTTGTCTGTCTCCTGAACCATGTGAATATGCCAGTCCCAGAGGTTCAGAACATGCTCTTGGCCTGCTGCCCCCCTTCTGTTCCCCGCCTATCCGTACTAGGGAGAGACTCTGGACAACTGATGTCTTATGCATATAATCCAAGCTATTCAGGAGACTGAGATCTCAGTCCAAAGCCAGCCTGGCACACGAAGCTAGGAAACTCTTTTTTTTGGCGGTTGTGGGGCTTGAACTCTGGGCCTGGGTGCTGTCCCTCAGCTCTTCAGCTCAAGGCGAGCACTCTACCACTTGAGCTACAGCGCCACTTCTGGTTTTCTAGTGATTTATTGGAGATAGGAGTCTCATGGTCTCTCCTGCCCGGGCTGGCTTTGAACCATGATCCTCAGATCTCAGCCTCCTGAGTAGCTAGGATTACAGGCGTGAGCCACTGGCGCCCGGCTGAAGCTAGGAAACTCTTATCTCCAATTAACCAGCAGAAAGCCAAGAAAAGAAACAGCTAGGTGCTGGTGACTCATGCCTGTAATACTAGCTACTCAGGAGGCCGAGATCTGAGAATCGTAGTTCCAAACTAGCCCAGGCAGAAAAGTCTGCGAAACTCTTATCTTCAATAATATACTCAAAAAAGCCAGAAGCAGTGCTGTGACTTAAGTGGTATAGTGCTAACCTTGAAGAAAAAAGCTCAGGGACAGCACCTAGGCCCTGAGTTCAAGTCTATGACCAAAAAAAAAAAAGGAGAAAGATGCTCAGTGTGGGTGTCGAGGCACACAGCCTCCCTGCCCTTTTCGCTTGGCCTTCATATAGCCTGGCTCTTCTGTGCCGGTGCACGTGTTTGTCACCTTGCAAAGTCCATGTGTGAGTGCAGTCTGTGTGTACATGTCTGCACGTGGTGTGAGAGCCTGTGATACAGACAGTCCCTCCCCCCCAGACATCATCATCATCTAGACAATATCTGGGGGTTTCTTATTCAACGCTGGGGCGCAGCTTGCATTTTACTTCTCAGAACCCATCACCACCCAGCTGCTGTCTTGCTATTGCTCTAGGCTGGGGAAGGGGCCCCCATCATCCAGAGTAGGAGCCACAACTCTGATTTCCTGGTTTTTACCAAATGGCATCTCTTTTTTATTGCTCAGCCCTGGTTCTCCCTGCCTAGTACAAGCAAACAGCGCAACGAGCTGAAATCTCCCCCCGAACCACTAGGATGTCCTTGCCGCGCCTTGCCTAAGCAGTCTGTCCACAGGGGACAGGATGTGTTGGGTGAGGGTCCCCAGCCTGCCCAGCCTAGACTGTCCTGTAGGCTCAAGGCCCCTTCAAACTATGGTGGCAAAGGTGCATTGGGAGCCGTGTGCCGCCGTCTGTTCACAGCCTGCGTTTGGCGAGTGTGATTCCACTGCCAGGACCTAGGCCTCAAGGGGCCTTCATGGTCAGTAGCACTAGAAGAAGCTGTCGGCTCTGTGGAATTGGGAGCAGATGGCTGCCCAAACACCACACTCCGCCCCAAACCATCCCTCAGCACTCAGAGTGGACATGGAGACTAGTGTTTGGTAGTAAGGTTACAGATCCCACCCTGTGATAGTGAGTAGTGAACCTGGTGGAGTTCAGATCAAGAGAGGGAAAGTAACTCTAGAATGCCTTCCAGGATCATGCGGAAACATCCAGAGGATGTCCGGAGCGTGGCACACACTGTGGTGAAGAGAATGTCACCCTTTGTGCAGCAGATAGACTTCACTCTGGACTGGATGGAGGTAGAGGCCGCGCGTGCCATATACAGGTGAGGCCTGGAGGTGTGCTGTGTACCGAGAGGTCCCCGAAGGCCTGCAGTGTCAGAAGACTGCTGTGGTGCAGTGTATAGAGAGGTCCACTGGCTAGCAGATTTCTCCTCCATAAATGTGTCCCTACTTAGAGCAGTACAGCTGAAGACCAAACTTCACTCTTGTGGAGACTGTATACCAGATGGATTTATCTCCCTAGGCATCCACATGAAAATGCCCTTGTAGGCATCTTGAGTTCTGTGTGCAGCTGTATACATGCAGACAAAGTACATTTTTACTGACATCTTTCTGTGTCTATATCCTAAGTATGTACCGCCTTTTCAAAGAGCCTGAGAACCGTTAGAATGCCCTTTCTGAGGTGCTGGTGTATGAGGTCTTTTCCTCTAACCCTAGCTGGGCCACTCATGGCCAGCTCCACATCGATATTCATGGTGTTTAAATGTTAAGAAAAGTTTAAAAAACTTATTAAAGCCAACAGCCCATCGATGTGTGCTTGTGAAAACATTTTAAAATAAAAATGCCTATGCTTTTCAAAACCAGAGAATTTCACTGAGAAGACTACCCTTTGAAACTTTAATCTTCTCATCTTGGGGGCTGAGTGGCTCTTGGCAGGCTGGACCTAGGGGGAGTGAAGGCTGGTGAGCTGAGGGCCTCAAGTAGACAAGTCAGACTGCACGTACATTGTCCTTAGTGCCGACTGCGTTCTGCGATGGGAAGAAGCACCCGGCTGGGGAGACCCCATGGGTGTGGAAGGTGGCAGGCCCTCCTTTCTGTTTCCTGGAACTGGCCTGGCCGGCTGCCTGGACAGGGGAAAGGTTCCCTGAGAGACTCCAGGATTGGAGATGGTTCAGCAACAGATCTGGAGTGAACTGCTAATGCCTTCTGGGGACCAGGGTGCTGGACCCTGGGTTCTGGGTCCTAGTGAGTACCCAGCCAGTGGTGGATCACGATTGGTAGGGAGTGGCCAGAGTCACCGTCTGAGGATCTCCAGTGACAGCAGCGGCCAGCTGGCGGAAGCGTCCCAAGGCTGACCTGAGCTGCTGGTGACTTGTTCCAAGGTCCACAGCAGTATTTTTGGAGCTTGGAGCTTTTTGCTGCTTTTTTTTTTTTTTAACAAATCTTCAATTTACCTGAAGAAATTCAGTTTAAAAAACATTTTGTAAAACTGGGCACCGTTGGCTCACGCCTGTCATCCTAGCTGCTCAGGAGACTGAGATCTGAGGATTGCGGTTCAAAGCCAGCCGAGGCAGGAAAGTCTGTGAGACTCTTGTCTCCAATAAACCACTCAGAAAACCAGAAGTGGTGCAGTGGCTCAAGTGGTAGAAGGCTAGCCTTGAGCTGAAGGGCTGAAGGGCTGAGGAACAGCGTTCAAGCCCAGAGTTCAAGCTCCATGACTGACAAAAAAAAAAAATTCTTCCAACTATTTACTATGTTTTAATTAAATCCTATTCCTGATAATGCTTTAAAATCATATGAAGAAAAATATAAATGTTTCACAGGTTTGGTCTACAAATCATTTGGGAAACCAACTTTAAAAAAATGGCCTTGAGCTGGGCGCTGGTGGCTCACGCCTGTAATCCTAGCTACTCAGGAGGCTGACATCTGAGGATGGAGGTTCAAAGCCAGCTGGGGCAGGAAAGTTCGTGAGACTTTTTTTTTTTTTGGTCATGAGGCTTGAACTCTGGGCTTGGGCACTGTCCCTCAGCTCTTCAGCTCAAGGCTAGCGCTCTACCACTTGAGCTACAGCACCACTTCCAGTTTTCTGGTGGTTTTATTAGAGATAAGAGTTTCACGGACTTTCTTGCCCGGGCTGGCTTTGAACTGCGATCCTCAGATCTCAGCCTCCTGAGTAACTAGGATTACAGGCGTGAGCCACCAGGGCCTGGCTTTGTGAGACTCTTCTCTCCAATTAATCACCAGAAAACTGGAAGTGGCGCTGTGGCTCAAAGTGGTAGAGTGCTCGCCTTGAGCAAAAAGAGCTCAGGAAAAGGGCCTAGGCTCTGAATTTAAGCCCTATGACCGACAAAATAATAATAATAAAGTAAAATAAAATCAGCTACCATAACACTCATGAACTGAACAGAACCTCCCTCAAATCCATACTATATAGTTGGACAGAACTTTTGTTATTCTGCTCTACTTTCCAACTTACTCATGTCACAAAAAAGCCCCCAAATACCCTTAGCCTCAAAAAATCAGTCTTCAAATGAAAGATCTGTTTCACCTCCAAAACAAACTCAACTTATTATTCAATAGATGGTTGTCCTTTCATATTACAGTTGATGATAATTGCAGTTAATTTGTAAATAACCTTATGAATTGAAATGGATCAAACTAAGCCTTTGTAAAAGTGACTAGTTTAATTATGGGCTAAATACAGTGAGCTTGAATTAGAAAAATTAAGATTCAAACATCAGTCTTTTCTTCCTCAGGTGGAGACGCTGAGCCACCAGGGCAGGGCCACCACCGTGCATGCTGTTCGAGACTCAGAGCTGGCCAGGCTCCCCACAGGAGCCCTGACGGCCATCAAATGCAGGTACCCACAGGTAGGTGTGGCTCAGAGCACTTGCTTCTACTGTGTCTGTGGGTCAGGTGGCTATTCAGTCAAGTATGGATGAGCAGAACCTAGAAGAGGCAGGATTATATGAGGAGAGAGGCCCCCGGAGTGTTGAGTGTGGGTGGTGGTAGCAGAGCAGTCAGGCGGCTGGTCAGCAGCGTCTTCCTCCTAGTGAATACTGTGGGTGTCGCAAGCCAGGAAAGAACCAACCTTAACAAGTTGGAGGCCCAGCCAGGGCTGTTGGTGAAGGGAAGGGATGGCTGAAAACTGCAGATCTGTGATTGTTAATCAGCGTGATTAACAAAGCACGGTATCTTCTGGAACAAATGGGAAAGTGAGGATAGTGTGGCGCCCACGTTTCCGGGCCTTCTTCAGGACAATGTGCCTCCTCAGAGCCCAGGCCTCTCACTTGCTTTACTATTTGAGGCTTAGCAGAGGGCCATTGCCCCCAGCTGGCAATCCTGCTCTTGTGGCTCATAGAGTAACACAGACTCAGATCTCCGTCTCTAAGAGGCCTCTCGCGATGCTGGCAACCATGACTGCGGTTGCTGTAGTTGCCCATTTAGGGACCAGAAGAACCTGGCAGAGCAAGTGAGTGATTGGTGTGCTGCGTCTCAAGACCCAGTATTCAAGGCTGCAGCTACAGGCCATTCTATTTTTGTGGTTCTGGCCATCCTCTGCCTGTGGGGTCAGGGTGTGGCAGTGTGGGTGTGGGGTGTTGCTGCATCCTGGAGTTTGGAGCCTTCACCATTGGTGGCACCTCCAGTCAGGAATCTTGGCTGCAGGCCACACCTAGAGAGGCTGCTCTGTGGTTCTCCCCAGCCAGGAGCTGGAGGCTGGCTGTGGGTGGAGTCGGGCGGTAGGTATCCATCCATCAGAAAGGTGATGGGGGCTCTCCTGGAAGGTCCAGTAGTCTGAGCCCTGTGGGTGTGTCCACAGTGGCCCCTGACCCCCTTTCTAGACATGAATGCCTGTGCTGTGTGCCAAGGGCAGATAGAGCTTGGCTCCCTTGGCCACCTGCCCCCTCTTCTGTGGGCTGCTCCTTGGTGGCAGAAGTGCATTCAGTCTGCTCCTCTGGGGATCCAGAGACCTATTCCATGTCCTTGTCTCCAGCCTTCCCACAGCAGACCAGGCTCTTGGCCTGCTCACGCCCAGGCTCACACTGGGAACCTCCGTGGGCAGGCTGAGCAGCAGCCACAGGTGTGATGAAGGCTGGAAGGCGTGGGCTCAGCTTGGAGACCCAGCGCTGCCTCCTCGTGTGGACACTGCTGGCTGACCACACTGTGCTGTCCACACCAGGCAGCATCGCCCCGTGGGGCATTCGGTTCTTGCCATCAGGCTGTTGGGCCACATGCTGTGGCTGAGCCCCCTGGGTGCCCTGTCCCGTTGGGGCCTGTGGTGAGGTGTTCTTAGCCCCTGGACCTCACCCTCAGATTGCTTTCTTGGATTCTAGAACAGAACGCAGCCTTCTGCCTGGGACTCCTTCCCCTGCCAAGTAGTGCTCCACAAGCGTTCCACAAAACGTGACTGTTAGGACTGCGCTGCGAATAAGCACATCCTTTTCTTGTTATTGTTGTTTGTTTTGTTGGTTATGGGCTTGAACTCAGAGCCTCGGTGCTGTTCTTGAGCGTTTGTGCTCAAGGCTAGCACTCTACCACTAAGCCACAGAACTACTTCTGGTTTTCTGGTGGTTAATGAGAGGTAAGAGTCTCACAGACTTTCCTGCCCAGGCTTTGAACCGTGATCCTCAAATTTTAGCCTCTTGAGTAGGTAGGATTACAGATGTGAACCACTAGTACCTGGCTGCACATTCTTATCTGTCTGTCTGTCCTTCTATCTATCTGCCCATCCATCCATCCATCCGTCTGTCCATTTATCTATCTGTATTTGGTGGTAGTGAGATCTGAATCCAGGTCAGCACTCTTCCACTGAGCCAGACTCTAGCCCTGTTTTGCTTTAGTTATTTTTCTGATAGAGTCTTTGACAATGGCCTGCTTCAGATCTCAACTGTCCTGCCTGCGGCCTCCTGCATGGCTTGAATTACAGGCACAGGCCACCACAGTCAGTTTATTTGTTGAGATCAGATCTTGCTAACTTTTCGGCCCAGGCTGGCCTTGAACCACAATCCTTCAATTGCTGCCTCTTAGTAACTGAGATTACAAGTGTGAGTCACTATGCCCAGCCTTAGAATATCTTACTGAACAGACGAACCTCTCCCTCCAGTTTTTTGTTTGTTTGTTTTTGTCGGTTGTGGGGCTTGAACTCTGGGCTTGGGCTCTTCAGCTCAAGGCAAGCGCTCTACCACTTGAACTGCAGCACCACTTCTGGTTTTCTAGTGGCTTATTGGAGATAAGAATCTCACAGACTTTCCTGTCGGGGCTGGCTTTGAACCTCGATCCTCAAAGCGCAGCTTCCTGAGTACTAGGATGACAGATGTGAGCCACCAGCGCCCAGCTGCCCTGGCCTTTAAGATCCTCTTTCTTCCATCTCTCAAGTAGCTGGGATTACTGGCAAGAGCCACCACACCCCAGCTCGCTAGGCATATTCTTAACCTTGCAGACAGCTCATCTGCTTCTGGAGTTGCTGGGTCACAGGATGGATGTGTTTTTAGGGACTGTAGACAGTCCTCCAAAGCAACTGTCTTGCTTCACAACATAGTATCTGAGTCCATGTCTCCACACTGCACATGCTCAGTGAGGGTGTCTCTTGGTATGAGCCATTTATTCTCTTGGGAGAGAAGTGGCACCGCACAGTAGTGTGAATTTTTGTGTCCCTGATGGGCAACAATGCTGAGCACTTGTAAATGCCTTTATTGACCTGTTTTGAACCTTTGCCACTTGTCAACATTTTTTAAATAGCTTGGAATTAAGTTTTAATTATGACAATTATTATGGCTATGTTTTTAAGGACTTATCCTTTAGAGCAGGAACGGGGCATGTCCAGTTTACAGGTTGCACAAGGCTCTTAAAATAATGTGGTACATGACAGGACAGACACACGTGCTTCTCATATACTTCTTGTTGGCTGCCTGCAGCTGTGTGCATAATCGATAATTTTCTATGTCCCACAAATGATGTTATAAATATCCACATGGCCCTTGGTAGAAAAAAGTCTTCCCACCCTTGCAGCAGCATATTCAGACATTAGTGGATGCAGTGCTGTCTTTGGGACGGGCTTCAGAGTGTCCAGGGGTGTCTGTAAAATGAGGAGGACAAAGGCAGAAGGGGATCCCGCTCTGCTTTGTGTGTATTTCAATTTTTACATAATAAAACTAATTGTTAAAGCCCTAATTTAACAGTTGGTGTTAGATTAGCAGCATGAAAAACATTATGCTTACTGGGTGCCCGTGACCCACGGCTGTAATCCGAGTACTCAGGAGGCTGAGATCTGAGATCGTGGTTTGAACCCAGCTCAGGCAAGAAGGTCTGTGAGACTCTTATCTCTAATTAAGTACCAAAAAGCTGGAAGTGGAGCTGTGGCTCAAGTGGTAGAGTGTTAGTATTGAGCAACAAAGCTCAGGGTCAGTGCCCAGGCTCTGAGTTCCAGGCCTAGGACTTGCACAAAAGAAAGGAAGAAAGGAACAAAGGAAGAAAAGAAAGAAAGGAAGGAAAGGAAGGAAGGAAGGAAGGAAGGAAGGGAAGGAGGGAGGGAGGGGGAGGGGCAGAGGGAGGGAGGGAGGGCCGACCATCATGCTCTCTGGTTTCTGTCTCAAACTCCTCTGCTCGGACTGTTTGCTGTCCCACACCCTAAGTGTGGGTGGTTTTTCTCGCACCCTCCGTAGGCCTTGGGGCCAGCATCCTGGGCCTGTAGGTGGGTGGGTGGCCCTTCTACCTCCACTGCACTATCCTGGGCCGGTGGATCACTGCCAGGCAGTCAAACTAGCTCCTTCCATAGTCGCACTGAGCTCTCTCAGCTACAGAGTGTCTGGAAGCACACTGGAGGGGAGTAGGAGCTGGGTGGAGGGTAAAGGAAGGGCTAAGGGGGAGTGGGGTGACGTTAACAGTTGCTCATAGGAGTGACATCATGCAGCTCTGCAGTGCATGTGCTGGATCTTCAGGTTATCTGGGTTTATAGACTCAGACTGCAGCATTTCTTCTCAGATTATCCTGCACAGCATCTAAGAGTACCAGTGGTTAGACTGCCTGTCCAACAGTCCTCTGTCAGCTTGTCGGCCTTAGGAATAAAAAGCAAGCTGCAGGGGCTGGGAAGGTGGCTCAGTGGTAGAGTGCTTGCCTTGCATGCCTGAGGCCCTGGGTTCGATTCCTCAGCACCACATAAGCAAAAAGAAAAAAGCCGGAAGTGGCACTGTGGCTCAAGTGGTAGAGCTCAAGCCTTGAGCTGAAGAGCTGAGGGACAGCTCCCAGACCCAGAGTTCAGGCCCCACGACTGGACCCCCCCCCAAAAAAAAAGCAAGCTGCTTGGTGTATTTAAGCGGTTACACTTGAGTCTGCCTAGTATACACAAGGCATTAGGTTCAATACTCAACATCACCAAAAAAGGGAGGAAAGCCCTAACATTTAAATAACTTTATTCACTCATTCATCCTTTTATTTATTTAGAGACAGGGACTCATTATGAAACCTAGGTTGGCCTCAAACTGGTGATCCTCCTGTCTCAGCCTCTTGAGTGCTGCGATTATAGATATGAGATACCATAGCTGGCCTTAAATTACTTTATTCTTAAATAATCTTTTTGTTGTTATTTATTTTTTATTTTCTTGTTATTTATTTTTATTTTATTTTGTTAGTCGTGGGGCTTGAACTCTGGGCCTGGGTACTGTCTCTCAGCTCTTCAACTCAAAGCTAGCACTCTGCCACTTGAGCCACAGCACCACTTCTGGTTTTCTGGTGTTTAATTGGAGATAAGAGTCTCATTGAGGGAGTGGAGCTGTGGCTCAAGTGGTAGAGCGATAGCCTTGAGCTGAAGAGCTGAGGGACAGCGCCCAGGCCCAGAGTTCAAGCCCCAGGACTGACAAAAAAGAGAAGGAAACAGAAACAGTATGTGAGAGAATAAAGTTGGCATAATAGTTTATTAAAAAAAAAAGAGTCTCACTGACTTTCCTGCCTGGGCTGGCTTTGAACCATGATCCTCAGATCTTAGCCTCCTGAGTAGCTAGGATACAGGCGTGAGCCACCAGCGCCCAGCTTTATTGTCATTATTAAGGTGTTGTACAGTGGGGCTACCCTTTCATAAGTCAGGTAATGAGTGCATTTCTTTTTTTTGGACAATGTCACCTCTTCCTTACTTCTCCCCAGTTCCCTGCCCCCCATCTCCACCCATGAGTTACACAGGTCATTTTCCACATAGCGTATACTGAATAGAAAGACTGCATTTATTCACCCTTCGTCCCTCCCTTTCTATGTCCCTTCTTAACTACCCCCCTGAAGAAAAAAACCTCAAAGCAAAAACCCACCACCACCAACAGTAACAGACAACCACCACCACCACCAACAGTGACAGACAACCACCACCACCACCAACAGTGACAGACAACCACCACCACCACCAACAGTGACAAACAACGCCTATCGCCCATGTTTCCATTTCCTGGAATTTGTTTTGGTATATACTATTTTTAAATGTTCAGAGAAGTTACACCTTTGTGACCCTCTTGTAATGATAGCCTCCTTTAGTCTGCTTGTGTGTAATTGCCCAGAGTTCTGTACAGGTTATCATGCCCAGTTATATTTTAGATCTAGCTTCCACGTGCCATTTGTCTCTCCAGGCTTGGCTGACCTCAGCATAACTTTTCTAGGTCCATCCATTTTCCTGCAAATAACATCATATTATTCTTACTAATGGATGAGTAAAATTCCATTGTGTGTGTGTGTGTGTGTGTGTGTGTGTGTGTGTTCTTGATCCACTCATCTATGGTAGGACAGCTGGGCTGCTATCCTATATTGGCTATTGTGAATAGTGCAGCAATGAGCATAGATGTGCAAGGGTCTTTACAGTATTCTGACTTTTAATGCTCTGGGTAGATGCCCAAGAACCTCCTTCCAGAGTAGTTGCACTAGTTCACCACTAGGGGTCCTTCCCCCACCCCCCCACCCCAACCTGCATTTGCTGTTCAGGTTCTTGACATTGGCCAATCTAACTGGGGTGAGATGGAATCTCAAAAGTTATTTTGTGATTTGCATTTCCTTTGTGGCATTAGCATTTCCCTGTGCTTCTATTTGCCATTTTTACTTCTTCTGAGAAGTCCCTCTGTAACTTCTTTGCCTATTTATTGATTGGTTTAGTAGCTTTGGGAGGGGTTAGTTTCTTGAGCTCCTTGTATATTTTGGATATGAGGCCTTTGTCTGATATATTGCTAATAAAGATCTTCCCCCAGTTGTTGGCTCTCTTTCTAGTTTATAACCATGTCCTTTATGGTACAGAAACTTTATTTTGATGTAATCCTATTGGTTGAATCTCTTTCCTCTCTGTGTGCCCTGGGACTCTTCAAAAGGTTCCTACCTATGCCTATAATTTCTAATGATTCTCCTACTCCATCTCTCTGTAGTTTCAGATCTGATGTTAAGTCTTTGATAAACTTTGAGTTGATACTCATTCATGGTAACAAACAGGTTCCAATTTTAGTTTCCGATATATGCATGTCCAATTTTCCCAACACCATTTATTGATGAGGCTATCTTTTTTTCCACAGTATTTCTTTGACTCCCTTGTCAAATATCAAATATTGTAGGTATGTGGCTTTATTTCTGGGTCTTCTCCTGAGCAGCTGGGATTACAGGTGTGAGACATTGGCACCTGGCTTCTGTTTTCTTTATGTATGTGCTTAGAGCTAGGACCTTTCCTCTCAACACTGCTTCTGCTGTATCTCAGGGGTCCTGGAATGATGTGTTTCTATTCTTGTTGGGTTGTAGGAACTTTGTGATTTCTTCTTTTATTTCTTCAGTGGCTCACCTGTTATCCAACATTGTGTTATTTAGTCTGCATATGTTCCAGTGTTTTCTGTAGCATCTTTTGCTGTTGAGATCTAGTTTAATTCCATTGTGCTCAGACAGGATAAGGGAGTTGTCTCAATCCTTTTGTACTTGCTCAGACTTGTTGAATGTTCATAGATATGATCTGTTTTGGAGAAGGCTCCATAGGCTGCTGAGGAGAATGTGCATTGTGTGGTTGTTGAGTGGAATGTTCTGTAGATGTCTATTAAGTCTATTTGGGTTATGCATCATGTAACCCAGAGGCTTCTTTTCTGATTCTTTGGTTGGTTGACCTGTCCTTTGGTGAGAGTAGGGTGTTAAAGGCTCCCACTATTGTTCTGTTGGGATCTATCAGTCTTTATAAGTCTGTTTGTTTAATATATTTAGTGCTTTATTGTTTGGTGTATATATATATATATATATGTATGTACATATATATTTGGTGCATATATATTGACCACTGTAATTTCCTCTTCATGGATCATTCTCTTTCTTAATATGTCATGATCTTTGTCTCTTCTTACTGCTTTTCACATGAAGTCTGTTTTATCTGATAACGATATGGAGGCTCCTGCCTTCTTGCAGGCTACATTTTTGAAAGATCTTTTTCCATCCCTTCACTCAGAATTTGTGTTTATCTTTGACTGTTGTGAGATTTGTTTCCTGGAGACAACAAATGATTGGATCTTGTTTTTTGATCCAATCTGCTACTATAAGTCTTTTGATTGGGAAATTAAGCCCATTGATGTAACATTACTATGGAGAAATATGTCATGCTTCTTAAATCACTTTATTTTTATGTAAAAGCATTTAAAATAAGTTTATAACCATTTTATCAAATTAAAAATTATTTTTTTATCTGGACCCCGGTGACTCATGCCTTTCATCCTAGCTGCTCAGGAGACTGAGATCTGAGGATCACAGTTCAAAGCCAGCCTGGGCAGGAAAGTCTGTGAGACTTTCAGCTCCAATTAAATCACAGAAAAAGCCAAAAGTGGTGCTATGGCTCTAGTGGAAGAGTGCTAGCTTTGAGCAAAAGAGCTCAGGGATGGCACCTCAGGACCAGCAAAAAATAATTGTATACATATACATATATATATAATATTGCTGGGTGCTGGTGGTTTACTCCTGTAATCCTAGCTACTCAGGAGAGACAGATGACAGATCTGAGGATCATGGTTCAAAGCCAGCCCTGGAGGGAAAGTCCCTGAAGATTTTTTTGTTGTTGTTGTCATGGGGCTGGGCTTGGGCGCTGTCCCTCAGCTCTTCAGCTCAAGGTGAGCACTCTACCAAAAGAGCCACAGAGCCACTTCCAGTTTTCTAGTAGTTTATTGGAGATAAGAGTCTCACGGAGGGGCTGGGAAGGTGGCTCAGTGGTAGAGTGCTTGCCTTGCATGCATGAGGTCCTGGGTTCGATTCCTCAGCACCACATAAGCAAAAAGAAAAAAAAGCTGGAACTGGCACTGTGGCTCAAGTGGTAGAGTGCTAGCCTTGAGCTGAAGAGGGTTAGGGTTAGGGTTAGGGTTAGGGTTTTTTCCATAATGAATTAAATGTTCTGTGCACACCATATACACCACACTCGTCTCTCTCCTGACTCTGTGCTCCCTGCCTGGAGAACCCTCCACATATCCTGCACCCATTTTCAGTGCAGTCCCCCCCACCTCCCCATCTACCACAGGGCTCCCAGCTTTCATACCCTACTTCATTTCCTACCAATTCTTTTCTACTAACTTATTTGTGGTCTGCTGGATCATCCTACGGGAGGGCAGGGCAGGGTTCTTTTTTGGTGGTGGTGGTGGTGGTCATGGGGCTCCTGAACGCTTTTGCTCAAGGCTAGCGCCTTACCAATTTGAGCCAGAATCCCACTTCTGGTTTTTCAGTGGTTCGTTGGAGATAGGTGTTTCATGGGGGCTTTTCTGACTGGACTGGCTTTGAACATCATCCTCAGAGCTCAGCCTCAATAGCCAGGATTACACGTGTGAGCCCCCAGCACCCAGCTTACGTGTTTTTAACCTTGTCTTCTTTGTGAATGAAGGTATCCAGGGAACTATTCTTTCAACTTTCTCTCTCTAATGTTCAGCTAGAAGTTTCTCTGATAAGTCTTCCTATCACTTCCTCTTTCCTCTATCACCCTAATCCTGGTATTAGGCCTGTCCAGGGAGGTTTCTGCTAGTGTGCTTGGGAACCGCAGACGGGCCTCACAGGCGCCTCCTCCGCTCAGACTGTGAGTCCTGGGATTGGCGGGTGTGCGACTCTATGCATGCCCTGCAAAGCTTTCTGTTCCAGTTATTGTATTTTGGCTCTTCATGTTTGGGGGGATTTGGAGTCACTATATTTGTTTCTGGGGTATCTGTTATAGTAGCTTCTTTTTTGGGGGGTGGTTTTTATTTTCAAATAATTTTGACATCTATGACATGTCATTTTGTCTGTTGACTTTCCTCTTTGCTTGCTTTCAGTACACCTGAAAATTTGGATCCTGTCTCGGTATTTGGGGTATTATGCTCCCATTTTCATCTTGGTAAGCTGCCATTGTGCTTGTATTTTTAGCTCATGTCCTAGTCACTCACTGGTCAAGGCCATGTGCTTCCCAGAACTGTCCTGGAAACGGCCTGATGTTCTGTGCCATCTCCAGTTCTCAGGGCCGTAGTAGGGATTCTGGGTAGTTCCTAGTGGGGCCAGGTTAGCACAAGCAGATCTGAGAATTCCTTTCTTTACCTTCTACTTCTACTGGTTGGGGCAGGGCAGATAATTGAAGAGGTATGCGGGGCTGGATGTTTGCCGATGCTTGCTCACAGCTCACCCATCTCCATGGAGAACCTTAGGAAGGGGGTCTTGTTTTGTGAAACAAAGCAGGTCTTACCTTGTGCCTGCAGGCCCTGAGCCTTCACTTCCGAAACCAGGCCACATCCAGCATCTCCCGTAGTTTGTAACAGCCAGGAGAGATATTCTTTCTCCACCTTTCTTTGGGCAAGAGCCAGAACTTCACAAGTGCCCTGCTGAGAGACTAAGAAAAAGCTACGTAAATAAGCAGTGAAGCTCCCATCCCTCTGGTTCTACCTAAATGGAGGCTTCTAACATCTGAGATTGCTGAGAAAGAAGAAGGGAAGAGGATTCCCTAAGGAGGATCTATTGCATGAAGAGCAAGAGGATATGGGGGGAGGAGAAAGAGAAGCAAAAATAGGAAGAGGAAGAGGAAGGGGCCAAGGAGGGAGGGAGGGGCAGTAGCCGGGAGGAAAAGGTTCAGACCTACTGTTGGGTCTGGGGAGGTGGTTCTCCTGCGTCTGCTCGGCCTGCCTGCCTGCCTGCTTCCCTCCCTCCCTCCCCTCCCTCCCTTTCCTCCCTTCCTTCCCTCCCTCCCACTCTCACTCCTGCTTCTTTTCTGATTCTTTGGTTGGTTGACCTGTCCTTTGGTGAGAGTAGGGTGTTAAAGGCTCCCACTATTGTTCTGTTGGGATCTATCAGTCTTTATAAGTCTGTTTGTTTAATATATTTAGTGCTTTATTGTTTGGTGTATATATATATATATATGTATGTACATATATATTTGGTGCATATATATTGACCACTGTAATTTCCTCTTCATGGATCATTCTCTTTCTTAATATGTCATGATCTTTGTCTCTTCTTACTGCTTTTCACATGAAGTCTGTTTTATCTGATAACGATATGGAGGCTCCTGCCTTCTTGCAGGCTACATTTTTGAAAGATCTTTTTCCATCCCTTCACTCAGAATTTGTGTTTATCTTTGACTGTTGTGAGATTTGTTTCCTGGAGACAACAAATGATTGGATCTTGTTTTTTGATCCAATCTGCTACTATAAGTCTTTTGATTGGGAAATTAAGCCCATTGATGTAACATTACTATGGAGAAATATGTCATGCTTCTTAAATCACTTTATTTTTATGTAAAAGCATTTAAAATAAGTTTATAACCATTTTATCAAATTAAAAATTATTTTTTTATCTGGACCCCGGTGACTCATGCCTTTCATCCTAGCTGCTCAGGAGACTGAGATCTGAGGATCACAGTTCAAAGCCAGCCTGGGCAGGAAAGTCTGTGAGACTTTCAGCTCCAATTAAATCACAGAAAAAGCCAAAAGTGGTGCTATGGCTCTAGTGGAAGAGTGCTAGCTTTGAGCAAAAGAGCTCAGGGATGGCACCTCAGGACCAGCAAAAAATAATTGTATACATATACATATATATATAATATTGCTGGGTGCTGGTGGTTTACTCCTGTAATCCTAGCTACTCAGGAGAGACAGATGACAGATCTGAGGATCATGGTTCAAAGCCAGCCCTGGAGGGAAAGTCCCTGAAGATTTTTTTGTTGTTGTTGTCATGGGGCTGGGCTTGGGCGCTGTCCCTCAGCTCTTCAGCTCAAGGTGAGCACTCTACCAAAAGAGCCACAGAGCCACTTCCAGTTTTCTAGTAGTTTATTGGAGATAAGAGTCTCACGGAGGGGCTGGGAAGGTGGCTCAGTGGTAGAGTGCTTGCCTTGCATGCATGAGGTCCTGGGTTCGATTCCTCAGCACCACATAAGCAAAAAGAAA